CTGGGACTATTTTCCCTGGAGCGTTGGAGGCTGAGGGATGACCTTATAGAGGTTTATAAAATCATGAGGGGCATGGATAGGGTGAATAGACAAGGTCTTTTTCCTAGAGTGGGGGAGTCCAAAACTAGAGGGGCATAGGTTTACAGTGAGAGGGGAAAGATTTGAAAGGGACCGGAGGGGCAACTTTTTCACACAGAGGGTGGTGCGTGTATGGAACGAGCTGGCAGAGGAAGTGGTGGAGGCTGGTACAGTTACAACATTTAAAACGTTGGGTACATGGATAGGAAAGGTTTAAAGGGATACGGGCCAAATGCTGGCAAATGGGACTAGATTAATTTCGGATATCTGGGTCGGCATGGACGTGTTGGACCGAAGGGTCTGTTTCCGTGCTGTACAGCTCTATGAGTGAGAAACAGAGTTAACATTTTGCATCTGATATGACCCCTTTTCAGAACTGAAAGGGGTTGGAAAATGATGGTTTTTATGCTGTTGGTGTAGGGTAATTTTGCAAACTCATTCTTTGTATACGTAGCTGATCTGGTTGAAGAAACTAATTTGCAGAAAAATAGCAAGTTCACAAGGGACATGGAATGTAATTAAGATTTGACGGCAGGATTAGCATCAGTTATGCAAAGTACTGCACATTAAGTGCATGATTGAAGGAACAGAATGGATAAAGAGAGATGTTGAAAGGGAATTAAAAACAGAAAGTGCTGGAGAAACTCAGCAGGTCTGGCAGCATCTGTGGAGAGAGAAAAAAAACCGAGTTAACCTTTCGAGCCCAATGACTCCACCAATAGTTTTGAAAGAGAGTCATATCAGACCCGAAATGTTAACTCTGTTTCTTTCTCTGTTGCCAAACCTGCTGAGTTTCTCCAGTATACTCTGTTTTTATCCGCAGTTTTGTTTTTGGTTCTATTTGATATTGAAAAGGAGAGGAGTAGCAGAATTCTGCTTTCGTTAGCGCAGAGAATCAGTAAGAAAGGAAATCATGCCCAGCATTGCAGTGCTGCAGATTGGCCTTCTCCTGTGCTGGCCTCTACCTCTGACTGCAATGTTTCCATCAAACTCACTTCTTCCAAACTGACAGATGTTACGTTGCAGGATAGAAATATATTAGTCAGAGCTGACCAAGAACACTGGGTGTAATTCAAGTTGCCATGGAGATGTAGAATAGAGCTATCTATTCAAGACAGAGGATGTAGTAAAGAACACTGTGTTGTGCTTGATTGGCTCACTTCAATATGGAGCACAGTGAGATGGAAGTGGGGCTAATTTGAGATGAACATTGCATTGTATGAGTTGGATGTTGAGTTTGATGTTGTGCTGGGTGAGTTGTTAGTAACATTGGATGCTGTATTGAGTGGGTTAGACACTGTTTTGATGTTGTGTTGGGCACTGTGTTGGAAATTTTGCCATACCCCCCAGCCAAGCTGTTCCAGGACAGTTACAACACTGGCATCTACTCGACAAAGTGGAAACTTGCCCACGTATGTCCTGTACATGAAAAGCAGGACAAATCCAACCCGGCCAACTACCGCCCCATCAGTCTCCTCTCGATCATCTTAGATAGATGGTGTCATCAACAGTGCTATCAAACAGCACCTGCCACCAATAACCTGCTCAGTGATGCCCAGTTTGGGTTCTGCCAGGGCCACTCAGCTCCTGACCTCATTACAGCCTTGGTTCAAACATGGACAAAAGACCAGAATTCCAGAAGTGAGGCGAGAGTGACAGCCCTTGATATCAAGGTTGCATTCGACCCAGTGGAGCATCAAGGAGCCCTAGCAAAACTGAAATCAATGGGCATCAGTGGGAAACCCTCTGCCGGTTGGAGTCATACCTTGCACATAGGAAGATGGTTGTGGTTGTTGAAGATCAGTCATCTCAGCTCCAGGACATCTCTGCAGGAGTTCCTCAGGGTGGTGTTGTAGGTCCAAACATCTTCAGCTGCTCCATCAATGACCTTCCCTCCACCATAAGGTCAGAAGTGGGGATGTTCACTGATGATTGCACAATGTTTAGCACCATTCGCGACTCCTCAGCTACTGAAGCAGTCTGTGTTGAAATGTAACAAGATCTGGATGCTATCCTGACAAGTGGAAATGTTTGCGCTACACAAGTGCCAGGCAGTAACCATCCCTAATAAGAGACAATCTAACCGTCAGCCCTTAAAATTCACTGGTGTTACCATCACCGAATCCCTCACTATCAACATCCTGGGGGTTAGCATTGACCAGAAACTCAACAGGACTCACCAAATTAACACAGAGGGCTACAAGAGCAGGTCAGAGGCTGGGAATCCTGCAGCAAGGAACTCACCTCCTGACTCCCCTCAAAGCCTGTCCCACCGTCTGCAAGGCACAAGTCAGGAGTGTAAGGGAATACTCCTCACTTGCCCCTGGATGGGGGCAGCTCCAACAACACTCAAGAAGCTCAACACCATCCAGGACAAAGCAGTCCCCTGCTTTGATTAGCACTACATCCACAAGCATCCACTTCCTCCACCACCGACGCTCAGTAGCAGCAGTGTGTACCATCGACAAGATGCACTGCAGAAACTCACCCAGCCTCCTCCAACAGTACATTCCAGACATGAGCTCTCTACCATCCAGAAGGACAGGGGGCAGCAGATACATGGGAACACCACCTCCTGCACGTTCCCCTCCGAGCCCCTCACCATCCTGACTTCATAGAATTGCTAAGTGTGGAGGCAGGCCATTCAGTCCATCAAGTCCACACTGACCCTATGAAGAGCATCCCACCCTATCCCAGTAACCCTGCATTTCCCATGGCCAACCCACCCCTAACCCGCACATCCCTGGACACTATGGGACAATTTAGCACGGCCAATCCACCCTAACCCGCACATCCCTGGACACTATGGGACAACTTAGCACGGCCAATCCACCCTAACCTGCACATCCCTGGACACTATGGGGCAATTTAGCACGGCCAATCCACCCTAACCTGCACATCGCTGGGCATATGGGACAATTTAGCACGGCCAATCCACCCTAACCTGCACGTCCCTGGGCACTATGGGACAATTTAGCACGGCCAATCCACCCTAACCTGCACATCCCTGGGCACTATGGGACAATTTAGCATGACCAATCCACCCTAACCTGCACATCCCTGGGCACTATGAGCAATTTAGCACGGCCAATCCACCCTAACCTGCACATCCCTGGGCACTACGGGACAATTTAGCACGACCAATCCACCCTAACCTGCACTGCTTTGGACTGTGGGAGGAAACCCACACAGACAATTGCCCGAGTGTGGAATTGAACCCAGGTCCCCTGGCGCTGTGCAGCAGCAGGGCTAACCACTGAGCCTTCAGTGTCCCTGGGTCAAAATCCTGGAATTCTCTCCATGATGGCACTCTGTGGGGGTCCCTACACAGCACATGGACTGCAGTGGTTCAGAAAGGCAGCACCTCATCACCTTCACAAGGGGCAATTAGGGATGGGGCAATAAATGCTGGGATCAGCCAGCAACACCTATGTCCCATGGGTGAAGAAATGTAGTTAATTATTTCCATGCCATTACCCCAATCCTTCTCACGCAACAACAGAAAATTAACCGCTCACGCCCTCACTCCACACCACCCTGCCCCAGAAATAGCTGAGACTTGGGTGTCCCTAAAGAGATCTCTGTTTGGAATGGAGTAAATTAGCAGGTTATGGAGGGATGGTGAATGAGTGTATGACAGTAAACCCCTGGCAAGGTCCCTGGTAACAACTAGATGCAATGAAGCAAAAATATCGCAAATTGGATTTCTTTCTTAAACAGTTGTCAACAATTCTAGTGAAAACAATACTCAGCAAAGTGTTACAGCATCACAGCGTGATGAGAATATATATGTTGAGTTATGTGCCAGACTCAATGAGCAGAAATTTAATATCAGTCGCTCACAGGCAAAGATAAACAAATCATTTTTTTCAATATATTTCTCATGATTTAATTATTTCCGAACATCTCTTCATTTCTCTTTGTTCATAGCACTTTTTGCTGTGCAATTCGACAATATATGACTGGCCAGGTTACCAAGTAACAGTCAGAACCAATGTCTCCATTCTCACAATAGGTCTGGGAGCTCCCTGGGGAAGTCCACCCACTCAAGAATGTTTCCCCATGTTGCTGATTTTTTGCCAAATCGCATCCAATCTGTGTTCTTCTGCTGCTGGGAACCGTTTCTCCCTCTTTGACCCAATGCAACACTCCCTTCCTGATTCTCAACCCTTCAATCTCCCCCCGAATCATCCCTGTTCAGAGAGAGGGAGCGCCGCACTGTTGGAGGTCAGTGCTGAGGGAGCGCCGCACTGTCGGAGGGTCAGTGCTGAGGGAGTGGGCACTGTCGGAGGGTCAGTGCTGAGGGAGCGCCGCACTGTCGGAGGGTCAGTGCTGAGGGAGTGGGCACTGTCGGAGGGTCAGTGCTGAGGGAGCGCCGCACTGTCGGAGGGTCAGTGCTGAGGGAGTGGGCACTGTCGGAG